AATCTACAAAATGACCTATATCTAACATTATATTTTAAAGGTGAAAGACTGAATGCTTTAAGATTGTGAACAAGGCAAGGATGTTCCCTTTCAACACTCCTAATCAATATCTCACTGGAACTCCTAGACTGCAAAGTCAAGAAAAAGAAAAGACATACATATTAGAAAGAAACATTTCTCTATTCATAGATGACATGACTATCTCCAGAAACATTTCGCTATTCATAGATGACATGACTATATCCTTAGACAAATCCCAAGAAATATACAGGAAAAAGCTCCTAAAAGTTATAAATGAGTTTAGTAAAAACGCAGGATACAAAGTCAACATACAAAAATCAATTATACTAGCAATGATCAATTGGAAACCCAAGTTTTTAAAAATGATCATTTACAATAGGACTAAAAAACTGAAATGCTTAGGTATACATCTAATATTTGCAGGATCTACATGTTGAAAACTACAAAACATTCATGAAAGAAATCAAAGACTTAAACAAATGGAGAGAAATACCATGTTCATAGATTGGAAAACTCTACCTTGTTAAGATGTCAATTATCAAGTTAATCTATAGATTTAATACAGTCTCAATCAAAATCCTAGCAGAATTTTTTTTGATATATCAACAAGCTGATTCTAAAATTTAAGCAAAAGAGCTAAAAGAGCTAAAACAGTTTTAAAGGAAAAACAAGTTGGAGAACTCACATTACCTGATTTCAAGCCTTAATTTTAAAGCTATATTAATCAAGACACTATGATATTGGCAAAAAAAATAGATCAATGGAACACAGGAGTCTAGAAATAGACCCACACAAATGTAGTCAAATGGTTTTTGACCAAGAGACAAAGGCAATTCAATGGAGAAGAATAGTCTTTTCAACAAATGGTCATGGAACAACTGAATAAACGAAACTCAACCTAAACCTTTCTTTATACAAAAATTAACTCAGGACTTCCCTGGTGGCACAGTGGTTAAGAATCCGCCTGCCAGTGCAGGGGACATGGGTTTGAGGCCTGGTCCAGGAAGATCCCACATGCCACGGAGCAACAAAGCCTGTGGGCCACTACTACTGAGCCTACGCTCTAGAGTCCAAGAGCCACAAATACTGAGTCCGCATGCCTAGAACCCGTGCTCCTCAACAAGAGAAGCCACCGCAATGAGAAGCCCACACACCACAACCAAGAGTAGCCCCTGCTCGCCACAACTAGGGAAAGCCTGCGCACAACAACGAAGACCCAACGCAGCCAAAAATAAAAAGAAGAAAATTCAATTTAAAAATGGGAAAAGATTTGGAATTTGGACACTTCACCAAAGAAGATATACAGATAGCAAATAAGCAAAGAAGAGATGATCATCATCATTATTCATGAGAAAAATACAAATAAAAACCCCAATGAAATACTGCTATATACCTATTAGAGTGACTAAAATTAAAAAGGTTGATCATACCAAGTGTTGATGAGGATGTAAAGTAACTGAACACTCATACATTGCCAGTGGGACTACAATTCAGCCTCTTCGGAAAACCAGCTTTACAGTGTATAGTTTCCTATGCTGCTTTAACAAATTACCACACATTTAGTGGCTTAAAACAACGTAAATTTATTATTCTCAGGTTCTGTAGGTTAAATATCTGACACAGGTCTCTCTGGGCTAAAATCAAGTTGCTGGCAGAGCTACAGTCTTTTCTGGGAGTTCTAAAGGTTAATCCATTTCCTGGCCTTTTCTTGCTTTTAGAGACCACCACATTCCTTAGCTTGTGCCCCAAATTCTCCAACCTCAAAACTAAGAACTCTGCATTTCTGTCCCTGCTTTCATTGTTACATCTTTCTGACTCTATCTTCTCTTTCCCCTTTAAAGACCTTCAGGATACACCAGCACAGCATCTGGATAATCCCAGGATAAACTCCCTATTTTAAAGTCAGTTGATTAATTCCATCTGCAACTTTCATTCACCTTTGCCATGTAACCTAATTTATTCACAGGTTCTAGGGATTAGAATATCTTTGTAGGCCATTATTCGGCCCACCACAGTTTTTTTTTAAATAAACATACACTTCACAGAAATTTCACTTGAAGGTGCTTATCCAAGAGAAATGAAGGCTTATGTTCACGTAAAAACCTGTTGGCAAAGATTTATAGCAGCTTTATTCATAGTCCAAACAAACAAACAAAAAACTCAAATGTCTTTCAACTGGTGGATGGATAAATAAATTGTGATACATCCATACAATGGAATACTACATTCAGCAATACAACAGAAGAAACTGCTGATACACTCAACAACATGGACTGCCACTCAGGTGTATTACGCTAAATGAAAGAAGCCAGACTCAAAAGGCTAAACACTGTATGATTCCATTACCTGATATTCCAGAAAAGACAAACTACAGGGAAAGACAACATCAGATGCCAGGGGTTAAGGGTGGGGGAAGAGCTGACTACAAAAGAGCAGCTCAAGGAAATTGCAGGTGCTGGAACTGTTGTGTATCTTGACTTTGGTAGTTGCACAGCTCTATGCATTTGTCAAGAAAATTGTACAACAAAAGGAGTTAATTTCACTTCACGTAAATTAAAAATAAAGTTAAAACCTCTGTGAAAGAAGGAAAATAATTATATCATTTGTCACCCATCAGATTGGCACAAATTTAAAAATCTGACAATGCCAATCTGACAATTCCAAGTTTGGACAAGGATGACTCATATACTGTTGGCAGGTATGTAAATTGTTACAACTTTAGAGGATAATTTGGCTGCAGCTAGTAAAGTTGAAAATGCACATCAACCTATGGCCCAGCAATTCATTCTAGGGAAAACTTCACAAATGTGCTCAAGGGGATATGCACAGGGATGTTCATTAAACATTGTCTGAAATATTGAAAAACTGAAAACAACCCTTCAGTCAGGGAATGAATTAATTGTGGTTAGTGGTTATTTAAAACAGAAAAGGAAAGAAAATGCAAGATGGAAAAAAAAAATCAAAGAAGGGTAACTTATTGGTTTGTTTATTTAACAATAGTATATAGTGAAAAGAACACTGTACTTGAAATCTGAAGGCAAGCATATTAGCACTTAGTTCCAACTCTGCCACTAACTAGTCTGTCTATAAACCTCACCTTCCTTTTCCTGGAAAATGAAGAGGTTAGACTATACAAAGACTAAGATTATTTACAACTCAACAAGAACACTGATACAAAAAAATGGACCAACTTTCTTGGCATGTCTGTGATGAGCTTTTTAATCATATAATAATAATTTAGAAAGACCATACAAACTCCTAAACTCACCCTACTGACTTGGGTAACCCTCATATCCTTTCGCATTTTAACATTCTAAACAAGTTAATATTAATGAGTCCACCTTGTCAAGTTCAGATCAGTCTGGCCAAAAGTCATTGAAGTACATGGTAAGATTTACTTGATTTTGCTTTAACAAAGATAAAATGACATATTGCTTTCCATATTTTTTGCCTGTTTCACCTACAGAGTTCCTACATTATAATTTAATAGCTTTCACCTTCTACAATAGTATAAAAAGTCTTTTAAAACTTATAGGGACTTCCCTAGTGGCACAGCGGTTAAGAATCCGCCTGCCAATGCAGGGGACATGGGTTCCAGCCCTGGTCCGGGAAGATCCCACATGAGCAGAGAAACTAAGTAAGCCCGCGCGCCACGACTACTGAGCCTGCGCTCTAGAGCCCGCGTGCCACAACTACTGAGCCCGCAAGCCACAACCACTGAAACCTGCACGCCTAGAGCCCGTGCTCCTCAACATGAGAAGCCACCGCAATGAGAAGCCCGCACACCGCAACGAAGAGTAGCCCCCGCTCGCTGCAACTAGAGAAAGCCTGCTCTCGGCATCGAAGACCCAACGCAGCAATTAAAAAAAAAAAAAATTGTAATATGCCAAGTCCACAGGAATCTAGTAAAAAAATCAGTAGTTCATAATCCAAAAAGCTTATTTAACAATTTCATTATCCCAGTACTAATACTTCAAAGACACCAATAACCAACATGCCATTTGTTCCTATTGCAGAATTTATTACGTTATTAATTTCCGGTATAATCCAAAGGCATAATTAGAATACTATCATTAACATATACACTTTAAAAAAAACCAAATATTAACTCCTTTCACCTTGTCATTAAAATCAAACTTTCAAAATTCTTGTGCTACAGGCTTTCCAAATCTAAATTCTCACAATCCTAAACGAGTATGGAGACAAAACACACACTATGTACTACTAGAAACCTTCTGGCTATCAGATTTTAATTTCAGCGCCAAATGCCAAGAAAAACCTTTCGACCGAAACCTAAATTCGAACACCTTACCGTATGTCAATCAACTAAACAGAGGTGAATTATTATCATTAGGAAGTTACATAATCTGCACCAAAGATTGTTTAAAGCCTCTCATTAAAAGCAGCTTAAAACAACTTACAATCTTCAAAGTTCACCTTGCAAACTTAGAGTAAATTATCAGAAACCATGAAGAAGATTAGGCTCTTCTTGAAAATGGTTACGAGGAAGCAAGTTGTTTATTTGTTTAAAGAATGCAGCGAGCAGCCGAATACCAGCAGCTGAGTCGGGCAGAGAAACGCCAACTACATTCCGTCTTCTAAAGAAAAGTGTTCTTCGCCCCGCCGATCTCCCGGACCCTGCCTGGAGGGAGTCAGGAGAGTCGCGAACTCGGGAGCGCGGTCGCAGAGAGAAGGCGCCTCCCTGCACCTCGGGCCGGCCGGGCAGGAGCCCCCGCCGAGGTGAGTCGTTCACCAAGCCAGAGGGAGCGGGCACCGCCAGACAGCGTTCCTCCGAGGGACAAAGGTTGGGCTCACGCCCTCCGCTGCCGGCCCGGCGCCGGCTGCCTGCAGCAGCCCGGGGTCCCGCCCGGGCCCGGCGCGTGGGGGAGGGGGTGAGCCCGGCTGCCCCTCCCCCGGCCGCTCGCTGGGACCTGTTGATTAAGACCTCCACACCGAGCCGCTGCCGGTCCGCCTCTTACCTCCGCGCCACGGCGGCCACCGCTTCTCCCGCCCTGGCCTCTCCCAAACACTGCAGAAACGACAGTTCCCCCGCGGCACTTAAAATACCGGATAAAGAATCCAGAAACTCGCGATTCCCCACCTCACAATCCTTAGTCCCCGCCCCCGCCCCACCGCCAGTCGCCGCCGTCGCCGCAGCCGCCCCCGCCGCCCGCAGCGACTCCACCTCGAGACCGCGCACGCGCTCCCGGCGCTGTTAGGCAGAGAGCCTGGCGCGGTTCGCCCAATCCCGAGCCGGCGCGGAGAAAGGGCCCGCTCATTGGACCGCTCCGCAACTCCGGGGGCCGGATCGCACACGCACTCGTGCGCCTCAAGTGGAAAAAGCGAAGTTCTTCGCGCTCAGTCGCTGGGGAACAGCTTTCGGCTTGAGTCTGCGGGCCAGGTTGTGGGAGGACGTGAGGTTTCCTTGAGACGCAATGGGCGGGTTAACGCTCTTGCAGACCTTTCTTCTCTCCCTGAATGTCTGTCAGCTCCTGAAGAAAATCTGATTCCTCTTGAGGCGACTCCTCGTGTCCTGTGAAACACATCACACAATATAACATTTGTGTAAAAAAGAACCACGACATACCTGAACACCTGGATGTGTGTAGTGTCCCACAAAAGAATTCTCTGCTACCACGGAAGACGCCACAAAGTTAGTACGTAGGACCGAGTTCTGAAAACCAGATAGGAAGGTGCCAAGGGCCACAGCTGTTTCACAAAACTCAAGTCCCTGGCTCAACCCACATCCAACGCAAGGAAATCCAGATAAACAGTCTTCAGGATTCCCTAGAAACAGCCATATCCAAAAAAGAAAAAAAAAAAAAAGGTTTGCATGTGTGTGAAGAGAGATCTAGTTCATTTTCTAAGTTCTTAAATGCATAAAATAAGTAATAATTCAAGAAATTTCCTTTGGTTCCTCAATGAATTTTTTTCCCCTTTAGCTCGGGGTTTCTCAACCTCAGCGCTATTGGCATTTGGACCAAATAATTCTTTCTTTGGGGACTGTCCTGTGCAATTTAGGATGTGTAGCAGCACCCCTGCTCTCTTACCCACTAGATACCAACAGCACCACTACCCCCATTTGTGACCCTCAAAAATGCCTGTAACCGTTGCCAAAGATCTTCTGGGGGACAAACTCACTTCCATTTGAGAACCGCTGATCTAGCTGTTCAAAGAAACGGCCTCCTTATAAAGTAGTCTCTCTACCCATGCCTTCCAATTGCCTGGCCTCAAGCAGTTTTGCAAAAGACCCCACCCAAATGAACCCTGCAGCTACCTAGCCTTGCTTCCCCAGCTGCTTGGACTCCTCTGTCACAGAGCCCCATCCTAATAAAATGCTGACAACTCTCTGAGATAGCAGCTACTGACCTCAAAATATGTGGAAATTCCTTTGTGAAATGCTATACAAATGTTAATTATTATTTTTACTTTCTAAAGGTATTTTCATCTTAAAAAAGGGTAGAACCTATGGCAAATAAAAAATTTATTCTCTGGTAAATAGAGCCATTCCCGGAATCCCAAAATCACTCAAATTACTGGTCTCATGTGCAAAAAATGAAGGATAGCTGGAAGAATGGAAGGTATAGAAACTGGAGGCAAGGTGATTGGATTTGAGTTTCAGCTTTGAAATTAACTAGTTCTGTGATATGGGTGCGTGACAAGTTTCCTGGGCCTAAATTTTCTCATGTGTAAATTAACAAGTTAACAACTTTTTCTTTTTTCTAGTTTTAAGATTCTGGAAGCCTCTGCTTATGTAATCTAACATGGATAGCATAGGGAGTTAAGAAAATATAATCTTCATCCCAAAATAGAATGAAATGGGCAACCTGTGGTTTAAACCCTCCTGTCAGAAGGCACTTTACCCCCTGAATCACCCTGGCAAATTTATAACTAAGTACTTTGGATGAATAATGAAAGCCAAACTGTAAAATCAAGTGAACGGTGCAGAGTAACCATAGTAAATACCCTTCCTCCTTCCTCATCTTGGCATCTGTTCGGTCTATCATCTGACAACAGCTTCTATTACATGTTGATGTAATAAAATGTTGTGCTGTTTATTTCATTAAAGGCTTGGGGGAAATATATTAATATTGCATTTCAGATATTTTCAGCAGGTCTGAAATCTCAGTTTTCAAGATTCATTAACGGTTATATGTGAAATTCTTAACTAAGGCTATTATATCCCTTTGGTCTTATCACCTCTGTGTACTAGTGAAATCTGAGTTTTCATAACTGAAAATAATAGCCTAATCACCTTATAATTGTATGAACCAGATGATCAGAGATAATGTAAATTAAAAGAAGAATACTCACTGATTCAGATATGAGAAGTTATGAAACAACAAATTAGTAGGTACATTAATTATTAAACAAATATCTAAAATTTTTATCAATGCAAAAAAAAACCAGAAAGCAAACCAACAAACCATGAACTTTTCTAATTTACTTGGGTTTAGTTATTATTATTTTGATATTTTATAGTACTTCTTAACCTTTCATAAACCTACCTAAAAATATTATGTCCCTAAGCTAAGAACACTCTGCAGTTGTTGCCATGTGGAACGGGAGGTCCCACTGTCTGCAGTTAGCATCAGTATCATTCAGTATAGGTCAGTATCATTTGACTCAATTGATTTCAATAAATAGTCACTCATTAATTTAAAACATGTATACTGAGTACTTCCTATGTGCTTAGAACTGGGCTATAGGGAATCAAAACATGTGACAGCTCCTGTCCTGGACTATAAAAAGGTGAGGAAAGGGAAAAGTAAGGCAAGTTCATATAGGTAAGATACAAGGGAAAATATGGTAAATGAAAATAAGGTGCTCTATGGACTTAGAGAAAGGTAGTCTTATACTAAGAGAAACTTTACTAGCTTCTAATGACAGGGGGGTAGAGAGAGGGACAGAGAGTAAACTACAATGAAAATACCCACAGTAATAGGAAAACCGAGATCTTACACATGGCTTTAGAAAGATAGATATAAAATTTTTAATCAATTTGAATGACTGAGTACAGTCCACAGAGACAAACATGGGCTCATATGGGAACAGCAAGTAGTCTACAATAACTTCAGGCTAGGATATTCAATATATAGGATATTAATCATTTATCACACTTTTATTTGTACCCTTCTTAGCTGGTCCTTTGCTAGGATGAAGATGTGTATATAAATAAAACATGACCCAGGAAAATTTTTATTTTGGAGAGAGGTAGTAGGCAAATTTGGAGGTTGGAAATTTTTCTAATGAAGGGAAGTCCAAGACTGAATGCCAAGAGAAAGGAAATCAAATTTGTTCTCCTTGAAAAAGGGCTATAAAGTGACCCACATCTTTTCCTCACCAAGCTCCCAATCAAATCTCTATTTTGTTAGTGTGTTAATCTCACCTGTCACTTTGATTCATATCCATATGTGAATACCTGTCTGAGACTGAGTCTGGAGTGGTACCTGTGCTCAACTCCAAAGAGCTGAACTCTAATGCCTCTTCTAGCCTCTCTTGCACTCACTCTGATTGAGATTTAACTCCACCACTGAGTCAAAACAGCCTTTCTCAAGAGCAGCTTTCCTAAATGCAAAGGTCAATGCTCAGTCCTCATCTTCCTTGACCTGCCAGCAGCGTTTGACACTGTTGAGCATTTTCTCCATTTTATCCTCTGGGCTCCCGAAGTACCACTCTAGCTTCTTGTCCTACCCACTGCATCCTCCTGTTCAGTCTCCTTCGCTGGTTCTTTTTTATATCCCCCTGAATGCTAAAAGTTGGAGTGTCCCAGGGCTCTCACATGGAATATTTTACTTCTCTGTCTGCCTGGGATTGAACAAACAGCCCTAACATTTACTAGCTGTTTAATCAGAAGAAAGTTACTTAATTTCTCTAAGACTCCATTTCCTCATCTATAAATTGAGAATAATAAAATTAGCTACCTCCAGCGGTCACAGGGACTAAGTGAAATGTACATGTAAAGTGCTTAGAACAGTGCCCGACACTGTATGCATTAACGACTTGTCCTTACTCTTTTCTTTTCATTCAGTCACCAAAATCATTTATTATAATGATATATTTAACCATCTGGCTTAGTTTTGTTAAATTTTTTCTTAATTTAATTTATTTTTAATACACCAAGTTCTTATTAGTGACCTATTTTATAGATATTAGTGTATATATGTCAATCCCAATCTCCCAATTCATCCCACAACCACCAGTATCCCCGCCACATTCCCCCGTTGGTGTCCATACGTTTGTTCTCTATATCTCTGTCTCTATTTCTGCCTTGCAAACTGGTTCATCTGTACCATTTATCTAGGTTCCACATATATGCGTTAATATACGATATTTGTTTTTCTCTTTCTGACTGACTTCACTCTTTAGGACAGTCTCTAGATCCATCCACGTCTCTAAAAATGACCAAATTTCGTTCATTTTTATGGCTGAGTAATATTCCATTGTATATACATATCACATCTGCTTTAACCATTCATCTGTCGATGGGCATTTAGGTTGCATCCATGACCTGGCTATTGTAAATAGTGCTGCAATGAACATTGGGGTGCATGTGTCTTTTTGAATTATGGTTTTCTCTGGATATATGCCCAGTAGTGGGATTCTTGGGTCATATGGTAACTCTATTTTTAGTTTTTTAAGGAACATCCATACTGTTCTCCATAGTGGCTGTATCAATTTACATTCCCACCAACAGTGCAAGAGTGTTCCTTTTCTCCACACCCTCTCCAGCATTTGTTGTTAGGAGGTTTTTTGATGATGCCCATTCTAACTGGTGTGAGGTGATACCTCATTGTAGTTTTGATTTGCATTTCTCTAATAATTAGTGATGTTGAGCATCTTTTCATGTACTTCTTGGCCATCTGTATGTCTTCTTTGGAGAAATGTCTATTTAGCTCTTCTGCCCATTATTGGATTGGGTTGTTTGTTTTTTTAATATCGAGCTGCATGAGCTGTTTATATATTTTGGAGATTAATCCTTTGTCTGTTGATTGGTTTGCAAATATTTTCTCCCATTCTGAGGGTTGTCTTTTTGTCTTCTTTATGGTATCCTTTGCTGTGCAAAAGCTTTTAAGTTTCATTAGGTCCCATTTGTTTATTTTTGTTTTTATTTCCATTACTCTAGGAGGTGGATCAAAAAAGATCCTGCTGTGA